CTGTAGTATCTGTACAGTTAGTACTGTAGTATCTGTAGAGTTAGTACTGTAGTATCTGGTAATGTTCTTTGATCCGAACATCCAGCAGTAACACCGGCTGTTAGCCAACATTTAACCCGGTTACCGGAGAACAGCCGCGGGTCTAACATCGTGTCTTTGCCCGGGCTTTGGATTCAGGTCAGTTGTGTTTACAGCGACCCTTCGGTTCGGTTCGGTTTGGTTCTGTTACCTGTCAGTCAGTGTGTCCTGCAGCAGGCTAACAGCTCCGTGACTCAATCACCCCACAGCTACCGGCTAACTACCGGATAACTACCGGATAACTACCGGATGAGCGGTTACCCACCTCCTGCTGCTTTGAGTGGCCTGCTGATGAGAACTATAACCCGGCTGATAAAGACGAGATGAGCCGCTGTCCGGAGCTGGAGGCTAACAGAAGCTAACAGAAGCTAACAGAAGCTAATAGAGGCTAATTTCCACAACAGTCTGCTGTCAGCTGTCTGTACGGAGCGCTGTGTGGGACAAAACGTCTCTGTGGAGAAAAAGCGAGAGCGAAAAGAGACGATTATGATCTTCATTCTCTGATCATCTGGAAACATCTGGAAAATAAACTCTGCAGATTTTCTTCTAGCTGTTTATGTGAAAGTTAAATCTAACATGAAGGTATCTTCACCCTCTGAGCCTTCACACCACTTTCAGAAGAATTAACTCCTCTCAGGTGTTTTTACCACAGCGGTGCAGAAAAATAAATGTTTCTTTTGTCCACATCTGCAAACAGCTGATTATTTTGTTGTAATATATGACTGTAAAACTCGAGCTGATAATGGAGTCAGAATAAAAACAAGTGTTTGTTCAGGAGCAGAAGTTTGTTTCATCTGGTGACCTTCAGTGCAGACACTCCTGTTTGTTCAGATGTTTGTTTTTATTAGAAACGTCATCTACAAGGATGTGGAGATAAATCAGGGTCATAAGTTTTGTTCAAAAATAAAAAAAAAATTGAAACTGAAAAAAATATTTGAAACTGAAAAGACAAGATGTTTGAAACTTTTCCAGATTGTAATGAATTGTTTTTCAA